CCCCCCCACCCCACCACTGCCGGCTTCTGCCCCAGCCTTGACCTCCTGCTGCCCAGGATGGCCGCCCCCAGATCTGACCGTCCTCTCCCCAGGCCGCCAGGCTCCCAGTGCCCCCTCCGAATCTCCCAAGCCTCACCCCGCCCCCAGCTCTCGCTGGGGCACTGCTCGTCCCCTCCCCTGGCCAGCTCCCTTCTCTGTGGTCACACTGCCTGCCTGCCCTCCCCCACCCTCCCCGACTCCCAAAATCAAGGCCCGGTGTCACCACCACCGTCCAGGTGCTGTCTCCCCCCCAGCAGCGGCGCTGCTGCCGGGGTCCCCGGGCTGCGGTGCCCCGAGAGCCCAGGAGACCCCTCTCTGGACAGTGCCCGAACTGGTAACTAGGGCACAGTCTGGGCAGAATGAGGCTTTGCCGGCAAAGCCCGCACAGCCCCTGCCTCCCTGCGGTGGCCGGCTCAGCGTGTGCTCTTTGAAAATGGTGACTGTCCCCCCAGGGGGACATCGGGTTCGTTCAGCCCAGAGGACGGGCTGGTGGCTCCCGCACCAGACAATGCAGACAGCATCCCCACCACACACGAGTCCTGCTGGACAGCGCCGGTCTAGAGACCCACTGAAGAAAACCCTCCAACTTGCGCAAAATAAGGGGAGGCCAGGCCAGGAGGCCTGTGGACGCTGCAGAAGGTGGGCAAACCCGAGGCTCCAGCGCAACGAGAGGACAAATCTGGGACAGTGCTGCCCACTGCCAGCCGCTCCCAGTGAAGCCAGCACGCCCGAGAGTGGTCTCCCGGCCGGGAAGCCGCATCCCCACCCGATCCTCAGCCAGGCTTTGTGCAGCAAACTGCCCCTCCCAAGGGTCCTCTGCTACTGCTCGGGGGGCCAAGGCTTTTGTGAGGATTTTACCAACTCTGCCACCACAGGCTAAACCCCGAAAGGACTCGGGTTGTTTTTTTCTGAAATGTCAAGTTCCACAAAATTCCAGAGATGGCAGCTAGGCCGCTCTGTCATGGACCCCCAGCTCTTCCAGGGCCACATTTTCTGGCCACACTGGCTGCGTGGAAGGGCATCACCCTCATCATCACGTGGCAAGAAGTCTTTGCGAGGGAGGAATGTGAGCGTCCCCTGCACAGAAGCCAGGGAAGCCTTTACACAATAGAGATACTAACTAATGACCTGTCACTCGTTTTTCCAATTGCTTTTTGGTTAAACAAGGATTTCTAACCTTGGTTTCCTTCCAGTTTTTCTCCTGTGGGTAAGCGTCTTCCCATCCGGCTGCCGTCCTGGCACTTGAGGGCGTCATCTGTCTGATAAGGACGATACACACTCTCCTGTTGGTTGAACTCAGCCCTCCTGGACCTCACCAGGCCCCCCGCTTGGCCAGCGCTGACAAATTCTCGCTGCCACCCCAGCCAAATCCCCAGGACAGGCTCCAGCGGCGGGGCCCCTGGACTCATGGCAGGGTGGCCCTACAGCCCATCACACTTCTCTTCTCCAGCACGGCAGACGGCTGCTTTTCAAGGTTCGGACTTGACTCGTGAAAAACGGCATCTGTGGCATTTTGGGCTGGTTATATCCTTTAAAAAAGGTATAAACGTTTTGAGCTTTAAACAGTCACACTGTCAACGTGTTAAAAAAATAAGTTTAATGCAGGTCGCTCACTTCATAAAGAATTTCACACGCACTCAAGACACCAAGCAGCTTTGTGTCCGCACCACCGTGACCCCCCTGCTGCCCCAGCCCCGTGGACACGTGCCCACCTCAGAGGGGGCCTCAGAGTAACGTGAGTCAACTAACACAAAACAAAGCTTTTAGGAAACAGCATGATTTGGTGCAAAACGTCCTCTGCAGTGCCGAGAAGTGGGGTCCGTGTGGGTCGGCTCCTTGCCTGCCGTCCAGGTAACCGGGAAAGACTCACCCCCGATTCCCTCGGAGGAGCCGTCCACTGACCTCGAGTGGACAATCGTCTGACAGGAGCTGGCTACAAATTAAAGAGCACAGTTTACAGCCAAGTGTTTTTTGCCTCCTTTACCTGATTTGGCTTTTTTCTCCAGTGGCACACAACTGCCCCGACAGCTCCCCATGGGCACTGAGGACCCGGCCAGGCAGGGTTGAAGGGGCTACCGCCCGTGCCTGCAGGTGTGGGGACAACTTGGGGTGAAGCACCATCGGCCTCCCTGTCGCCCTCAATATGGGGCCCTATGTCCCGCCTCTGGCTCTTGTCCCAGCTGAATGATTCAGAGTGCCCCTCACCTGCCCACAAGGCCTGCGGCTACCCTGTCCCCATCTGATGGAGGCCAGGGTGAGGGGTCTGGGCAAAATGCTGGCCCTCTGGTATGTTCTCTCTGCAACCGGAAGCCCCCCTGGACCACTGGTTCTTTCCTGGCCCACATTCATTTTTGCTTTGTACTCCCAGCTGCTCTAACAACCGCAGAAGCAGGGACAAAGGGGCCGCCGAGCCCCTCACTCGGAGGTCCAGCCCTGGTGCAACCCTGATTCCAAGAGGTGTTTCTTCCAACAGACACGTCTCGAACCTGGACGTTCCCTGAGGGGAAGAGACTGAAAGCCCCCTGAGGCCAGAAAGAAACTGAGTTGCCTCCCCAGGAATCCACACGTGAAGAGGGGTGCCCTGGACGCAGCACGCCCCTGGGCTGGGCCCTGGTCTAGGCACTGACAGGCAAACCGAGGTGCCACTGAAGCCCGGCCTGGGACTCAGGACCCCCACGCCTCGCAGGGTAACAAATGGAGGGGAGTCCGTGGGCTGAGCGAGGCCTCGGTGGCCCAGGGCCGAGTGAAGAGCTCGGTGGCAGTGTGGTGCACCAGCTGGTGGAGCCTGACGCCTCCCCAAGGCTGGGGCGGGGGCCGGGCGTGCACAGGAGGGGGCTGTATGGCCAGGAGGATCTCCCCTCCAGGTCTGCACCTGGGTAGCACACCCCTCCCGGGGACCTCCCACACCACTGGTGACACCATTGCCCTGGAGAGGGGACAGGGACACAGGCTCTCCAAGTACAGACTAGCTTCATTCAATCCACTCTGGGGCAAATTCCCATACAGCATCTCACAGAATTTCAAATATCTACATGAGGTTTGAAATATCCTATTTCTGACTGAATACACCGAATCCCTCA